GAAAAAACTATATAAACATAAAACATAGAGTGAATCAATTACAACATTATAATCCAAATCTAATAAAAAGCTGAGATGTACCATTGACTTTTTGACATTTGGTGACACATTTGTTGTAACAGTTGGTTTGTAGAGAAGCATGATTAAAAAAACATACCACAATCATGATGCAACTTTACAGCATGAGTTTACTCACGTAGTATTTATTTACAGCACGAGTTTACTCACGTAATATTTATTTACAGCATGAGTTTACTCATGTAGTACTTACGTCAGGTATGTTTACACATACTGAACTTGCATCAGCATGAATTTACATGTGTACTACTGGAGTAGATACTATTTCGTCAGATCTGTCTCAAACTAAGAGATATCGAAGATGCATAAGCATGTGCCTAACCAGTGTATAAATGCTATGGAAAGTTTAAGTCTAAACATTGCTTCTTACAATAGCCAAACTAAAAATAGCTCCTTTATTTCAATTTACTTTTCTAGAATGGGTCTGTAATGTAATAAAAAAAGATGTGGTATGATTGCCAGAGAGATAACTCTCCATCCGAGACCAAATGACATAGAAGTTTACAACTATAGGTCACTGTACGGCATTCAACAATGAGCAAAACCTATACCGTATAGTACAGAGTTCTCGAAATCTTTTTTTCCCTGGTGGTTCTTGAAGAAAATCTGCTGGTCCTGGCTACAATTTCTGTTGCAAAAAATACCAACACTGTGTTGGTGCTTTGCAAAATTTTGGTGGTCTAAACCTTCGGACCACCACTTTTCGAGAACTCTGATAGTAAGCTATGAAAAGCCCTGAAATGACAAAAGTAAGCCTGAGTTGTTCAAAGGAGTTACACACAGTAGAGTTTTCCTTTGCCTTTATTTCTCTATCATAAACCTGCCACCATATCTTGTTCCAAATACTGCCATTCTACTGACTAAAACTAAAGGACAAATTTTCACTGCTGTTTTTACTTCCTATCAACTTCTAATATAAGATCCTATACATGAATTTTGGGTTTTATTTCATTTTCAGAAGTTAAACAAACAAAAAAGCTTTCTCCGACTGTCAATCTTAGGAGAAAAAAATAAAATGTGAAGAGTTGTTCATGAATTTTTTATTGACCTGATTGAGGACACTATTTAGCAATGATAATTCTACCCTGTGTTTGTTTAGTGATGAGTGTAGTTTATGACTTATATTGATTATATTCATATTAATATATGTCCGTAGGGAATATTGTTGCTATGACGAATGTCAGAAGTTGCTAATTCGTACCACGGCTCTTAAAGGTCTGGTACCAGCCACTTCTCACTATTCATATCCAATTCATTGTAAAAATTCATCCCATTGTAGTCAGCCATTTAAAAATGTAGTTTTTTTTTTTACAATTGATTATAGCTTTTGAAGGCAATTGATTAACAAGTTTTTCTCAATCCATTCTGGTTTTAAGCAAACTTCAATGGAATTTTCATTTAGGCAATTTGTAAAATTTGGATTATGGGAAGATTGCTATATTGGCTATAAAATGTGTGTAAACCTACTGAATTTAATTGCCCACTTAGTTCATGCCTCCCACTATAATGAATTTCATCATCCAATTCTTGATGACTATTTTATCATTGATATACAGTAATCTTCATTAATAACAGGTCATCTTTATATTAGATATTGTAGTCTTCGTTTTCTACTGTTGAATATATCTTAAGAATTTTCTACTGTTGAATATATCTTAAGATATATGAGGAAACTTTATAATATTGTCAAAATAATCAATCAGGGTCCAAATTAGTAAGAGTCCAAGGTTTTTTATGAGAGGGGACTTTTCATTTTCTAATTAAAAGCAGGACCTTTCATTTGAAAATTCAAATGGTCCTTGACCTTTTATCACTTAAAGAAAACTTGTAACCCTGAATAATGCAGTTTAAATTGTAATAAGGAAAGTCTGCCCTGGAGAATCTGAATGAAGACTAAATGAAAATATGTCATGGTAACCAGAACCATAGATTTTTTCATCATTCTGACTGTTATGCAGTTTGTTAATAGAATTGAAGAAAGACAAATAATAAATTCATTATTCTTTGTTAAATTGACATTGGTTTCATCAATGTATTCTATGACTCACACAAAGATAATCATTATTTTGAAAGAAGGATTAATATCTGGTGAAAACCGGACTTCTCTTTCCATCTTTTATGTTGAAATATCCCAGTTTTTCACAATAAATTGTAGCCTATGTTCGTCTTTTAAGCCAATCACCCAGACTTTTTACCGACAGTGACATAGGATGACAATAAGAGATGTGACGACTCAGATTTCAATACCAGCAGCTAATTGAATCAGACCTAACAATGACAGTTTTATCATACTCCGAATAAGTCAACAATCTAAAACCGTTTTATAAAACAAATGAATAGATATTGATCCATTATGGAAACAGAATTACAAATGAAGAAAATGGCCATAGAGGCAGGAATGAAGGGTCCTTGACAGCCATATAGATATATTTAATCAATCACATTTCAGATTGAATGATGGTCAGAAAACTGAGAATGAACCAAAGTAGTACTAATACAATACCATTTTGTCTATGACTGTCAACTTTTTTTGTCCACATGCAATAGAATCATACAGAGGGCAACCACTAACTTGTATTTCAGAATATACTTGAAATCAACAGGTATGACCTATGACCAATACAGAAACATACATAGTACACATCTTATGGTCCTTTATCTATGATACAATATATATATAAAATTGAGAATGGAAATGGGGAATGTTTCAAAGAGACAACAACTCGACCAAAGAGCAGAAAACAGACCATGTATAGACCATTGAGTGTTGTCTTCTTTGATCTGGACATGTTCCAAAGCTACATGATTATCCCAAAAATAAATTAGGATCATAAAGATCTACAATGTTTTATATATCATCTGTCTTAAAATGTTCTTTGAAAAAAATACACAAAACATAATCAAGTTTCATGGTGATATTATATGATGACTTTACACAAATTTCTGACTAATTTGAATAAACCTCCAAACATGTACTGAGAAATATTAAAGAGCACAAATCACATATTTATATAGGGAGTGTATTATATGATCTTCTCTGACGGTTGCAAAAGATTTATGTTGGAAGATCTCGTGCCCTTTGCTAATTATGCTAAAATGTTCTTGAAATAAACAAATTGTTTAGACGACAATTTGAAAAGATTTCCACATTACCCTTATGTCACAGTAATATTTTGTCAGAAGCCATAGCCTACACTTACATTTTCTGAAAGCATTTTTACTAAAGATTAAAAACTGTGTTTAAAAATATTGTTAAATTCAAAAAAAAATTTAAATGAACATACAGAGCAAAATAAGCTCTCAAATGCATGTAATTTCTCCTTTATATCAATTATGGAGTAGAAAAAACAAAACAAAACACGAAAACAACAGAAAACCAATTTACTAGATAAGGAAGTATATTTGATGACCCCCTGGGGTCAGACCTTTGTAATGTGATAATATGTAGTTTATAAAATTTGCAAATCATTTATCAAAGTAACCCATCAATATTAACAAACATATTACGTTTCTGTTTTAGAAATCATACTATCTTCACAGCTTTATTCTAATATGGCCTAAAGATATTGTCGGAAGGAACGTTTTTTAAAACATATTTGAGGTTTGTAGTTTGTCAGATATTTGTATAGATAAATGATACCAGGGATACATAAAGGAACCACAGTTTCAAGACTGAATTAAAAAAAATTCTCTCATTTGTTTTTCTCTGAAATCAATACTGACGTCCAAAGGGGTCTGAAGAACATTAGACATATATATACATATATTAACTTGTAAATTGACATCTATCTATTTTCTCGAACATGTCGAACATCTCAAAGGCCATATCCAAACTTTGACAAGAATGTTGAGAAAAATTGTCAACTGAATCAATATTGTTAACTATTTTTTTGTGACGGTGCTTTATTGTTTAAATATTTATCTTTACGCTCCATGTAGGGGTACAGGGAGTTTAAATACAATTCTTGGATAGCAAGATCTACATTTTGGTAAAAGGTAGAAAACTTGGACAAATAACACTTAAACATTTTTTTGCTTGCTATCTTCAGTTGTTCAATAAGGCTTTCAATTTCAATTTCCTTGGAGAATTTGTATTTCAGAACAAAATGGTTTAATAAATATCAAGATAAGCTGTGGAGTATGTGGAGAATGGAAATTTCTTCCACAATTCTTTATAACGATTATCAATGTCTGATAAAATAAACCCCCCCAAAAAATAATGTAAAACTTGGCAAAATAAGTAGATATTAAAAGTCAGGACATCATTCTATATTTTATCTCCTCTTTAATGTTTTTCTTAAATTTTTTAAAGTTTGTGAATACCCATTGTTGTCCATAAAGTTTCATATCTGTACTTAAAAGTTCGACAGGAAAAGAAAAATGTCCCCTTTATGAACAGGTGCCCTTTGAACAAACAGTCTTCAGACAAGGGTGTACAATATAGGTAGTCATTTTCTATATGGAGAGACAAGTCATTATTAAAGTTCATGTCAATTTTAGTAAATAGCTATCTTTCATATTTTGTACAAAGGAGGCTGTCATAAAATTTGCTGTTTACAGAAAAAATTTGTGTATTTATACCTAGAAACTGCATTGTTCTTATGGGAAATACTATCATTTTTATAATTATAATTATAAACTTGAAAATGCATTTTTCTTATTAAATATTTGTAAATACAAGAATAAAGATGGCTTAATTTCACCTTTATATTCTTACGTAGATAGATATTTTAAAAAGTAAATTAAATACTGGGGTCATGTCTTTTCATTCCATTATGGTATCTTGGCTTCTTGAATTAATCTATGATGTACATTTTTTTGTTTTGAAAGAGTTTTTGATAAAAGAAAAGAAAAGTGCATCTTCAGAAGAATTGGCCCTATATCATTGCATGCTTCATACTTAAAACTAGTAGTGTACTTACTTCCTTCAGCGGCAATGGTTCGGTCCGAGGCCATCAGGACTGTAGCAAGGACTAGTAAAAACCACATGGTGACAGAGCTACAGTCAAGCATGTATTATCTGCAAAAATGAGAAAATAAAAAAAAATTCACAACATCAAAGTTTTTACCCAAAAACCCATCCACCACAATGGGGTTAGTATGTTGACAAAGTTAGTAGTTCCTATGTTGTATTAGTGGTTAGTAGATTAAATAGTACTTTTAGACTGAACAAAATCTGTAATGGAGCAAGTATGTATTCGGGAAGCCTTTGTTTTTATATTCCGTGCTATAGACAATTGTTCCGGTATAAATAATTCGCTATATTCATCCATTCATTATAAATTCTGAATAATTATAATTCCAAAATAAATAAAAATATCCACTGCAGCAAACTATCAACTAATTTATGAAACAATTTCCATAAAATTCTCCATATATGTGGTCATGTTGCACGTTTTAAACTAAATTCTTTTGAAGTTTTAATTGTCAAAAAAAATATGACATAATTCTTTTATAATATATGTAAAATCGCTGATGTACAATTATACGTGCAATGTGCAATCGTGTTATCCTTGAATTGTCAACCGCACATGTATTAATCCTTTATTTCACTATAACATCAATAATAAAGACAACATTGGCAGAGTCAGTCTGTTCCCAGATTGCTGTCTGTTCTATTGAATAAAGTCTGGAACAACTAGACAGCCAATGACACAAACTGTTGAATATCTAAATTAAAGTGACAAAAAGTCTCAAACAAGGTCCAAGTTCTGTCTGAAGAATTACCTTTATCTCAAGGTTGTCAAATGTTTGATGATTTTGATGATTTTATAGTAGATGATAATAGGATCTAATTCACTGTGTACACACTAAAATTCTTCATCAATGAATTAATACTCCATGTCCCACAGGGTTTATATATATAGGTCAATCACACAGGTATATTACTTTATTTACTTTTATTTACCTGATTTAACAACACCTGAATTTTAAATCCCTTTTTTTATATTATAATTTCCAAATCACATGATTTTCCTTCTAATTTTCAGTTCATATTTCTCCTTTTTCTGAAACTATTCCACACAAAACAATGTTCTGGTGTCAATTTTAGCTCATGGTTGAATTTTGCATTCAGTCAATCCTTGTATAGTAGAACCAACTTTACTTTATCTGATCAGCCAATCAAAACATCGCATGTAAATACCAGTCTGTCCTTGTCATCTGTCATCTTGTACTGTATATGTGGACAAAGGGAGAGAACTTGTGCCCCTCAGGTATTTTGCTCCAGTACAAATTTTGTCCAGGTGTGAAATTAAGTTGACAATCAGTGAGGTACAAAAGATCAATAAAGGTGAAAATCAATTAATTAACTTGTGAAAAATAGGAATTTGTAATTCAATAGGAATTAAATCTAATCTACAGTTTGTCAACAAACCTTGAAGAACAATACAAATATAATTTAATTTACATAAGTTACTAGACAAATAGTAATCTAATTAATTTCTGAATTTATCAATGGCATAATATATGCATATAATTCATTGGAATTCTAAATTGTAAATAAGAAAATTCAATATGAATAAATTTGAAATAATGTTTCTGTTATTAACTTTGCATGCATTGTTTTACTGTTGATGTATATACATGTGTTTTTATTGTCAGAAAAAATTGCTTGAGAGCTTACGTTTCTATTTTGTACAAACCCAGCTTTAAATAAAGTTATCTATCCATATCTTATATTTCTGTTAGTTTGTTTTTTATCTCTATTTTTCTGTATTTTTTTCTTTTGTATAAATTTACTCCATGTATCACCTTACGCATTGTAAGTTAAATTATCAAGTTTCCCTCTCTGAACCTTTGTTAATTGATTTTAGAGAATAAAGTATATATCTATTAACAAGGTTAACTAAACATTAAATAGTTAAACAAACAAAAAGATACAAATACAAGATTCTTAAAACAATCTGGTGCTCCAAATATTTTCATTATTTACCATAGTTGTCAGCAGAAACTCCGAAATCTAACTACAATTTTTTTGTCCTTTAGATGCCTTTTGGTTATTTTTGTTTTTGGGTTGCTGTCTCATTGATGTATAGACTGCAACTCCTTTTTTTTTATTGTCTATTATATGAATGATATTTGCCACTGGACATTACGAAAGTAACACTCAATCCCTGAACGCTTTACAAAGTACCTGATAATGTATCAAACAATGGCTACAATACTCCCTACACAAACAACTTTATCCGTAGAAAAGACAATCAGGCCTTCTAATAGTGTAATACACCTACAGTACTCTAAAGGTTCATATGAAAACTTCTTAAACAACTTGTTGGCAAAAATGATGTTTACCATAATTTTTAAATAAAACAGAAAAAGTCAATTAAATTACATGTACCGCTACAACTTTTTTTCAAAACCATACATGTAAAAAATAATTGAACAAGAATGTGTCCATAATACACAGATGCCCCACTCGCACTATCATTTTCTATGTTCAGTGGACCGTAAAATTGGGGTCAAAACTCTAATTTGGCATTAAAATTAGAAAGATCATATCATAGGTAACATGTGTACTAAGTTTCAAGTTGATTTGACTTTAACCCGAATAATTCAGTCCCTCCCCGTGATCGACTCTCCCACTCGCGAGGGCCTGAATTCTTTATACAATAAAAACGTGTCACGAATCCAGGATTTTGATTGGTGCTCTCTGTGAGAGAGAGCCAATCAGCTAATAGCTCAATGTTATCGAGATAGGTAAATCCCGAGCTAATTCCGAATGATTATTTGACGATTTTTTATTGACAAGGCCTTCAGGCGTTAATGTAGCCATCATAGAGCAGTGGAATATAACGACTGAATTATTCGGGTTAATTTGACTTAAACTTCATCAAAAACTACCTTGACCAAAAACTTTAACCTAAAGTGCGGGACAGACGGACAGACGAAGGAAGGAACAAACGAACGGGACACACAGACTGAAAAACATAATGCCTCTCTACTTTCATATGGTAGGGCATAAAAATATAAAAATTGAAATTAGATAAATAATCACATTATCTCTAACATTTTGATCTTTGGATAATAAAAGTAAAAAATATTGGAGGAAAGGGTCGTTGCATGATTTCATATTTCTGAACACAATCAAGTATTTTTCAACCTTACTAAGATCAATAATGGATATTCCCTGGAAACGTTTGTTCCAAGTTACATCTACAACCTTCCTGAATAACTTTATACAAGAATAAAAGAGAAGATATGATTTAATAGTCCACAGATAAAATATGCTGAGCATGCTTTCAGTAAATGAGAGCATACTTTTCCCAACGCAGGGTGATTTAGAGCTAGGCATATTGTATAGACCCTCGTCTTTCATTCAATATCTTAATATTAACCTATACAAAATGTATATATACATGTATTTTCATTCTTTTGGTTGTTGGGTTTTGTCTTATTGGTATAATACTCATATCCATTTTTTTTTTATGGTATTGTTTTTGATTTTGTTGTTATGTTGGTCTTCTGATATATTGATTCTTGTTTGCATATTTATCTAAGTTTCATTTAAACATTAGCGGTTATCAATGTCTCCTAAGTTTTTGCCATTTAAGAATTTGAGGTTGATGTAAAAATTCACTCACAACTTATACTTATGATTTAGTTTTTCCCTATCCTTGAACGCAACTTTCATCTCTGAACATCCATTTTCGTGAAGTTATGTTGGGTTGCTGTCTACCTGACATTTGACCCATATATCTCCTTAGATTTTCAAATACTTCTTGTAGTATCTCTACTGAGATAAAGCATTATATAGATGACAGGTATTTTATGTGATGAATCGTCTGACTTTATGAAATGACTGCTGTGGCAATTTTTGTGTAGGAGTTTTGTAATGAAATGGGACATAACTCTATCTTACCAGGACATGGATTCTTATGTCAGTAAATCATCCAAACTGTTACATTATGCTGAAAATAGACAAATAAAGTGTTAAAAAGGAGAAAAATGGAAATATAATATATAAGCAACAACAACATGGATTAACCAAAAACAAAACTTTTTTTTTTTAAGATTTCCAGAAGTTTTTATCTTGATATATTAAAGTGGTCCTTATAAACTCAAGGAATATTTCATCCATGATTTAACATTGTTAACATTATTTGCAAAATTACCAACCCTTTCAGTTTATAAACATGGTAATTTAATAGTCGTGCTTCTTAAAATATGTTAATAGTTTGCACTTTGTTGTGCATACCTATTACCATTTAAATTATATTGTCAAGCCATTAATTACCCCTGTGAATCATGACAAAGATTATAAACAAACCCACTGTTTAAATCAGCTTTTATCAACATAAGTCTTTAAACATATATAATACGCTTCATCATTTAAAGAAAAAAAAACATTTTTCAAAAGCAAATATAATTTTTGTGTCCCTATTAAAACTAATAAAAGTGAATTCATAATCATGCATAAGTCACTTTCTGAACAAAGAAAAAACTGAATAAAATTATACAATGAGAATTATTGACAATAAATTTAAAAAGCATTTCAAAAGTAAATATTTGACAAAACTGGTGACTTTACATATATACCTGTAAACTCCAACAGTGAAGGTACTCCAAGTATTTTTTAGTTATAAATCGTGACCAAATGTAAAAGTCTTAATACAATAGTATTGATCTTATGAGAGCTACGAGAATCGTGTGACTCATACTCCGTCCTCAACACAAACAATAGAACTTTATTTAAACTTGATTCTAGATACCAAAAAATTTAAGATTAGTTTCCTTCACTCTACACTGCAGAAAAAAAGTTAACTGGACCTTTTCAAAAGGTAACGAGTCGCAAGTTCTTTGGATAAGGGTATTACATGGAATTTAAACTATTCAAAATTTGAAGATTTTAAAAAGTGATTTAAATCTTGTGTGTTATGCAACATGATTTATGCAAAATAAATTAAGATTTTTGTTATCTCTTATTGATAACCATATCTTTTTAATTTATTTCAGATATAAATTTCAGGCCTGAACAAATTCAAATGCAACCCACCAGACTAAAGTATTTTGGACTACATTAAAATGTATTTTGACACTTGAGGATAACAATTTTGACTGAAACTAGACCCTTAACATGAATTTATCATAGCTTTGGAGTGACACAGCAGTCTCATAACTCATAACTTAATGGCAATAGGAGGGATTGGATGGAGAGAAAGAAAGTATTAATCTCTTAACTTAATGGAAAAAGAGGGATTGGATGGAGAGAATGAAAGTTAACTTACTGAAAAAAAGGGGGATTGGATGGAGAGAATGAAAGTTAACTTACTGAAAAAAAGGGGGGATTGGATGGAGAGAATGAAAGTTAACTTACTGAAAAAAGGGGGGATTGGATGGAGAGAATGCTAGTCTTACATCCTTTAACTTACTGAAAAAAGGAGGTGGATTGGATAACATCTCTTAGCTTAATGATTAAGGGGGTTTGGATAGAGAGAATGCAAGTCTTCCATCTCTTAACTTAATGAAAGGGGGGTGGTCTGATGGAGAGAATGAAAGTCTTACATCTCTAAACTTAATTAAAACCTGGGGTGTTTGGAGGGGTGTTGGGTGGAAATAATGAAAGTCTTGCATCTCTTTAACTCAATGTAAAAAGGGGGATTGGATAGAGAGAATAAAAGTCTTAGATCTCTTTACGTCATGGAAAAAGGGAGGGATTACATCAATCTTGCCATGATACAGCCATTATGTGCTGACTTGACAATAAATTAAATAAAATTAAGCAATCATTAATTCATCATCAAAAGACAATGGGAAGACATCGGACCATCTGAGAGAAAATAGGTAAACCAGTTCTTCAGAGTTTGGGCAATCCATATGGCAGTCAGTTTTAACATGTCTAAAAGTAAAATCATTTGAGAGAACCTGAGATTTGAACATGTCTAAAATGAAAGCCATTTGGAAGAACCTATGATCTGGACATGTCTAAAATGAAAGCCATTTGGGAGAACCTGAGATCTGGACATGTCTACAATTAAAGCCATTTGGGAAAACTTGAGATATGGACATGTCTAAAATGAAACCCATTTGGGAGAACCTGAGATTTGGACATGTCTAAATTGAAAGCCATTTGGGGAACCTGAGATTTGAACATGTCTAAAATGAAAGACATTTGGGAGAACCTTACATGAAATAATATCCAGTATACGTGCAAATGGGAAACTTGTAAAATTTCTTTAAAAAATTCTACACTTCTCATATTTCCAAGTTTTTTAAACATCATTTATTCAAACACAGTTGTTTAGTTAAATACACCTAAATATTCCCCCAGAATGTTAGACAATTTTCACTTTACAAGTTCAAAAATTAACATGTCTGATTATGTAATGGATAGGACACACCCAATCACTGTCAACAATGTACATAAGTCAACTTTGATAAAATCATTTTATATGCTTGTTGACATAACATTTTATATTCATCTGGTTTCTCTACTTTTTAATAAATATTTGTCATAGGTATTATGAGGTGTTGAATGTATCTATGTCTTGAAATATCATAGTGTTTTACACCTTTGGGACCACATGCAGTGTTAATATCATGTAATGTTTTTTTTTTTTAAAGAAGCTAATATAAAAATTTGAAGATGTGGTATGATTGCCAATGAGAGACCAAATGACGTAGAAGTTAACAACTATTGGTCACTGTACGGCCTTCAACAATGAGCAACACCCATACTACCTAGCAAGCTATAAAAGGCCCATAAAGGGTTTAGATGTAAAACAATTCAAGCTAGAAAACTATCTTAATGTTCTAGAATAATTTTCAGGGGTTGCAATATTATTCTTTTGGAAAAAAAGTCCTCACTTTAACAACTTTATTCTTTGTGAAAATCTTACATACAATGTTTGCTAGTATATTATTAACATTTAAACATACAGATAATTGGAAATGTCCATCATACTGTTCTTGTAATAGGACTGATCATTGCCCTCAAAAATAAATAGGTCTAGGATCTCTGGCCTACATTTCAATCGGCAAGAGCATACTGATTAAATGATTTATATTTGCATTAATTTAGATTCAAAGTGTTTGTTTTCTCAAAGCTAAAGGGCAGTAAATCCAACTCAATCTGAACTTCTGAACATAATTAAATAGAGTTATCTCCCATAGAACATTACCTTCACCATATTCTCTTCAAATTATTTTTCAATATTTTTCCACACGACATGAAATTAACATTCAGTCAATCACTTTTTTCTGTTACTGGCTTAATTGATGCAAAGGTTGTACATAGATTAAACCTTTTATAAAATATATCAATTACCAAGTTTCTAAGAAAAAAAACAAGGATTCATCAGAAAATCAATAATTCTGATGGAAACAAAAACAGATCAATAATTGAAGGAAAAAATCTTTTTCATACATTATCAACAAAAGCATTTATAATATTTCACATCACAATTAATTTCCATATCCAAATAAAATGAAACTGTCAAAGAACGGTCAATCAAAATAACATTCTCTTTATTAATAACCATCCTCCAGATATGACATAAGACATCCATTGATCAGGTTCCTTACTTGGGACAGCTAAGTTTTATTGAATCTCAAGCCTCCCCCTTTTAATTTAATATATTTTTAGAACCATCTATACTATTAAATGAGAAGACCTCATTTTGTGTGTCGCTTCTCTTCCTTCCACATTAAATTAATCATCAAGCCTTTGTGTCCTATAGGTACCATGCATAGTTGCATTTGTCATCCTCGCCTATAAATATTTCGTTTGGGTTTTTTTGGGAGAAAAACAAAAATAAAGACGTACAGATATAGTCTCGGACTGACTTTTAAGTCATAGATAAGACTTCCGTTTAGGACTTAAACTTGCACATTATTTTCATAGGTACAAGGGGACAGGACAATTATTTTCGCATTTTTCTGTATACTATGAACAAACTTACATGTATACTATATAAATACAGTGCATTTGCTATTTGCTATCAATTCCAAGTTTAACTCCATGGATTGATAATAAATACCAAATAAACTGTATTTATATAGTATATGACTATATGTTATTATGTATGTTCATAGTGTACAGAAAAAAACGCTAATAAAATTGAAATTAACAGAAAACAACAAAAAAATAACGGACTTTGGAAAAAAGGGGGAGGGCTAAAAAAATTGTACTGTCCCCAAGTACCTTTGACTTTTGATAACTTTCCTGAAATACTCCAGTCATAAAATCTTTTACAAAAATTCATCCCACAACAGTTTACATACCATCAACAACGGTCTAAATGCCAGCGATTTCGCGAGTGTGTTCTAGTATTCTTTTAATTCTACATCTCTAATCATGTATGTTATTGTTGTTTAGCTGTATTATAAAGGATGTCTTATTTCTTGATAAACTTGACTCCAGATGAAGAAATCAATATCAATTTTCATCCATAATTGGATTATGAATATAGAATAACAGGAGATTTCTGATTTTCATTTTAAAAGAAAGAACCTGATCAAATTCACAGTTTAAGAACTACACATTTTTATCTCATACATAGTGTATCATTTGTTCTCAGAAGTTGTCTCGTACCCTTTTTCATTTCATCCTTAATTCTCAGTCTTTTCCCATTTACATTGTTATTTTTGGTCTTTATACCAGAGAAATCAATTGATAAGTATGATAACATCTGTCCCATCTGATGGTGTTAAGATCTCTCAATAGTCCCAGTCTTAATTATTAATGTCAATAAAAACACTGTGCTGATACACAAAAACAAATCGAATAAATCTACTTAGGAATAACCTGCAAAAATTTCAATGAAAAAATTTCTCAGGTACCTCTCTACCAAATGTCTTTAAATTTTGTGTTCATTTGACAAAATATTAGTTCAGGTTATCTCTAGCAAAGACTTCATTTATTTTTGCTCATCAACTTTCTCCTCACATTTACTGAAGTAAAATTACAGGA